AGGGTGAGGGTGGGGCGGTGGAGGGGGAGGTGGGAGGTGGGCAGCTGGGGAAGGCCTGGCCTAAGGCAATCAGTCCTGTTGGAGAAAGGCCAGGCTCCAGGGGTGTGAGGAGGCAAACCTGTCCTTTCATTAAAATAATATTTTCTAACCACTACATACCAGGCACCATTCTGTGCCTGTGTTAGAGCAATGGACAAAATAGAAACATCTGTGCTGGTGGAGCTGACCTTCTAAAGGGTGGAGAAAGACAGTAAATGAAATAAGATATACAGTATTCTAGGGAATGATACACAACACAGGAAAAAATAGATATGTGAAAAATAGGTTCTGGGGGTATTATAGATTACTACAGGCCTGGTGCACGAAATTCATGCACTCAAGGGGAGTCCCTCAGCCCGGCCTGCGCCCTCTCACAGTTCAGGAGCCCTTGGGGATGTCCGAATGCTGGCTTAGGCCCCCTCCCTGTGGGGAGCGGGGAGCGGGCCTAAGCTGGCAGTCAGACATCCTTAGCACTACTGCAGAGGAGGGAGAGTCTCCCACCACCGCCGCTGCGCTCACCAGCTGTGAGCCGGGCTTCTGGCTGAGCGGTGCTCCCCCTGTGGGAGCACAGTGACCACCAGAGGGCAGCTCCTGCGTTGAGTGTCTGCCCCCTGGTGGTCAGTGTGCATCATAGCGACCGGTCATTCTGCCGTTTGGTCTGTTTGCATATTAGCCTTTTATTATTATAGATTATGTGGTTGGGGAAGTCCTCAGACTATTTAAGCCAAGACCGGAAGGAGGTGAGAACCATGCAGAAATCGTGGCTAGAGCCTGCAGGACAGGAAGAGGAAGTGCAAAGGCCCCGAGGTGCAGGTTAGCCTTGCATGAGGAAGAGCCAGGCAACCAGGACGGCTGGAGTGAGGAGAGGGGGAGAAGCAGAAGCTCAGAGAGGTGGCACGGACTGTCTCTCAGAGGGCAGACTCGGGTGGAAGGCTCCTGGGAGACGCAGGTTCTTCCTCTGTGTGAGATGGAAGTCACAGAGGAGTGACACGGGCTGACATGTTTTATCAGGATCACTCTGGCGGCGGTGTTGAAAATAGACTGTAAATGGGAAAAGGAGGAGGAGGGAATACCAGCTGGGAGGCGAGAGGAGATGATGACCTAGAAGGCTGTGAGGAGTTCTCTTTGGTCTCCCCTCCTCTACCTAACCCTTCCCTCCCCTCCTCTCTCCTACCCTCTCTTTTTCTCCCCTACTCTTCCGTGGACTGTTTCTCCTCTTTCTCCCCATATGCATACATGCATGTGAGTGTGCGTAACACAGACACATACAAACACTATTTTATTTATTTTTTTAATATATTTTATTGGTTTTTTTTTACAGAGAGGAAGGGAGAGGGATAGAGAGTTAGAAACATCGATGAGAGAGAAACATCGATCAGCTGCCTCCTGCACACTCCCCACTGGGGACGTGCCCGCAACCAAGGTACGTGCCCTTGACTGGAATCGAAACTGGGACCCTTGAGTCCGCAGGACGATGTTCTATCCACTGAGCCAAACCGGCTAGGGCACAAACACTATTTTATTGTGGGAAATCAAAAGCGGAGAGAATAGCACTGTGCTCTCCATCATATGCATGTACTTGTCACTCAGCCGCAACCATTGTCAGCGTGTGGATTAGCCTTGCTCCGTCTCTGTCCCTTTGCGCGCTCCACTCCTCTGCCCCGGGATTATTTTGAACCTAATCCAAAACATCTTGTCATTTCACCATAAATATTTCAGTACGTGTAGATAGCTGCCAGAAGTGGAGCGAAGAGGAACTGTGGACGGATGGGTGTGTAGGGCGGGAGGGAGAAAGAGGACCCAGCGATGACTCCAGGGGTTTGCTCCGAGAAGCTGGAAGGATACAGCTGCCATTTGCTGAGCTGGGCAGACTGGGAGGAGCAGCTTGGGGGTGGGGAGTCCAGTTCTGACATGCGCATTGAAGATGCCCATTGGCCATGCACGTGGAGATGTCAGGTAGGCAGCTGGACACATGAATGACCACTTGGGTCTCGGGCTGAGGCACAGGGCAGCAACTGGGTGAAGGAGGAGGCCTTTCACTGAGCCAGGGGACGGAGGAGAAGCCGGTTTGAGGCCAGGTGGTGGGTTTGTTTTGATGGGTTGAGTGTGAGGTGCCTGGTAGGTGCTGAGGTGCCCAGGTTTGGGATTCAAGGGAGGGGTCAGGGCTGGAAATAGACATGGGTGGTTGTTAAGCCAGGAGAGCCACTGGGATGTCTGCAGACAAGAGAAAGAGGAGCAGACAGCACAGAACCGGCCTGGGGGATGGGAGGGGTCCCTGAGCTCACTGGAGGTAGAGTGGGAAGAAAGGTCTAAATCAGCGGTTCTCAACCTGTGGGTCGCGACCCCTTTGGCAGTCGAACGACCCTTTCACAGGGGTCGCCTAAGACCATTCTGCATATCAGATATTTACATTACGATTCATAACAGCAGCAAAATTACAGTTATGAAGTAGCAACGAAAATAATTTTATGGCTGGGTCACAACATGAGGAACTGTATTTAAAGGGCCAGAAGGTTGAGAACCACTGGTCTAAATCCATAAGTCCCGGAAGAACCTTCTCTGCCTGGCGACTCGGAGGTTGAGACACACACTGCAGAGCGAGGGCTTCATCCTCAGGCGGAGCAAATGGAGCTCGGAGCAGTAGGGTTTATGCCTGACCCACTCACTGGGTTTGCCAGCTCTTCCTCCACATCCCCAGCCAGGACCTGGCCCTGGGCCACAGACCCCAGGACAGGCTCCAGGCCTCAGGGCACTGTGAGTTTTCCTCCCTGCAGCTGCCACTGGTTTGTGTGTGTGGAGGGGGAGGGGGTGGGGGGCAGGGATCCGTCTGCTCCAGTCCCCGGAGAGCCAGTGCTATCTCTGAGTGTGACCCTGAGCATGGCACAGCAAGCCGGTGTCCCCAGCGGGGCCAGCCTCTGGAGCCAGACTAGCCAGGCTCCGATCCCAGACCACTGCTAGCTGGTGGCTTCAGGCAGACTTTCCCTCTCTGAGCCTCGTTTGCTCAGCTCTAAAATGCGCATAATAACAGCCCTAGCCTGGTGCAAAGTCTGCACTTCCTCAGTGATAGCCACGCTGGTGGCTTCAGGCAGACTTTCCCTCTCTGAGCCTCAAGTTTGCTCAGCTCTAAAATGCGCATAATAACGGCCCTAGCCTGGTGCAAAGTCCGCACTTCCTCAGCGATAGCCATTGATAGTCATTGTTACCGTGATCTCTCCAGTCTCATCCCCCAGCCCTTCCCTCCACAAACCTGTACCCTCCAACTGCCCGGGAGGTGCCCCCTTGGCCCCGCTGCCCTACTTCCCAGCATTGCATATACGAGTCTCGCCAACCTGGCATATGCAGATCTTAAAACCCAGCCCTGGCGTGTCCTCCTCTGACCCAGCCAGCCAGGGCGGTCCTGTCCCCCCTCTGCTGTGAGGGGTTCCATCACCCTGCTGTATCTATGTGCCGACAACGTGTCTGCTTCCCCGGAGACTGAGAGAGACCGTTTCCCATCTCATCTGCACTCCCAGTGCCTGGCACTCGGAAACATTCATTGAATGCCTGGGGCGTGAGTGCAGGTGGCCACTGGAGGTGCCCTGGGCTTGCGGTCCTCATGCATCTGGTCTCTGCCCCCTCCCCCCGGTTTGCAGACCTAGACTTGGCTGTGCCAGAGACCGTCAGACTGGACAGCAGTTTACACAAAGCCCGGGCCCAACTGCTGGCCAAAGGCCGTAGACATCGGCCTTCCCGCTCCAGGCTTCGGGACAGTGCCAGCTCTGCGGAGGATGGTGAAGGCTCCGATGGGCCCGGAGGCAAGGTTGGGGCCGCCCACCCAATCACACATACCCCACCCACTCTTCTTGCCCCTGGAGAGCCCCTCCAAACCCTCTTCCAGGGAAGCCACACACCCAGGCTTCTGATCTAATAATGCTCACAAGCTGTAGCTACCTTCACATTTGGCTCATTTCATCCTTAAGGAAGAGATTATCATCCTCATCTTACAGATGAGAAAACGGAGGCTCAGAGGTTCCGTCACAAAGTCACACAGTAATGGAAGGAGGTGGGATTCAACCCCAGCCTATGTGACTGACTGCCCCTGTTCCCACCTCGCACTGCCCAGCCACCCCTCCGCCCGCATGGGGAGAACCCCCTCTAGGTCCCCCGAAAGACGCCTCAGAGGCTCCCGTGCGGTTTACAGGGTGAGCCTGGCGCCCAGCCCCTCTGGGAAGCGGGGAGGAGGGATGGCGGTGAGCGGCTGCCCCTCCCGCAGGTGACCGACGGTATATTTTAAAACTAGGACTGACACTGTTCCTACTGAATTCATGACCTTTATAAAAATGTATTTTTTCTACAACTGATTACATATGTAAAAATGTATTTTACATAGAAAAAACGAATATTACATAGAAAAAATGTGTTTTTCTACAACTGATTACATATTTTTTAAAATTACATGATAATTTATGTATAGTTCTTACCTGCATGTTACCAGCAATCCTTCCCAGTGTATCTCCAATCTCCGCTCCCAAGCTTACCTATAGTAAAAGGCTATCTTTGGTTCTGCAGTTTAAAGAAGAAAATTCCACTGCAGTCACCACCATTACCTGAATATTATGAGACAGTCGGGTTACATTGCCTTTACAAAGAATGGAATGATGTATAAGTTAACTGCATCCAGCTCAGCCAGAGGTGAACCTGAGGAGGGGTGGTGAAGGATTAAAGAAGACAAGAGAATAAAGCTGGGCCTAGGTGGGACACTGCTCTCGGATGGAGAGACAGTGCCACAACCTGCAAGCCGAGTCTTTATTTTATAGCCAGATTCCCTAGGCAAAGTAAGGGTGTGGTCAGGATGTTTACAATGTTCTCGAGGGTTTCGAATCCACTCAATTACACGCACCTGATCAAGCTTTGTTTCCTTGCTGCACCTCCTGCAGCCCACATCACTCAGCCACGGGGGGCTACAGGTTCAGACCATAAGGTCAAGCTTACTAGGTTCAACCATAGCCTTTGGCTATAATTGCACTGGGACTTACACGTGGCTTTGCCACGAGAGGATCGTGCCCTCTCACTAGTCCCAGGCCTGAACCTGTCCAAACGCTGTAGCCGCTCGCCACAGGGAGCATATAAAAGGTGACAGGACCTAGTTGGGAGCATCCTGGAAGGCTTCTCTGAGGAAGTGACATGTGGTGCAAGATTGGAAGGCTGGTTAGAAGTTGGCCAAGATAAAATTAACACGAAATAGTAGTGGTCCCTACCTTTTCAGAGTGGTTTATGGTTTGCATAAGGTTTTCATAAACATCCCATTAGGTCCCATGAAATATCCCCGTATTTGAGATGAAGGGAGCTCAGAGAGTTAGAGTGACTGTCCTGGGTCACACAGCCAGTGAGGGGCACCAGGGCCAGATGGCATGATTCTAAGTCGGGAGAATTTCCACCACCTCACACTGGCAGCTGGAGGAGGCAGGCAGGCAACCACAGGCTATTTCCGTCCCTCTTCCCCAAAAGATGACAGTCGGGATGCCAGCCCACCTGAGCCTGCCAGTCCCACCATTGGCCTGGATAAGAAGACTCGCCGGAAGTTCCTGGACCTGGGGTGAGTGGAGGAGGGACCAGAGCCAAAGGCGTGGGGCTGTTGGGGCGCAGGGTAGCACAGTGGGCAGCACTGGCCCACCCCCCTCTTCCCTCCCCGTAGGGTCACCTTACGCCGAGCATCTACTAGCAAGAGCCGGAAGGATAAGGGCAGCAACCGCCTGTCCATGGGCAGCAGGTAAGTGGTACCCACCACACCTCAGCCTCAGCTTCTACCCATAATTCCCTGTGGGCCCGGCCCTCTCCTCGGTGCCCACACCCATGCAGGATGCTCTCTCCACAGGGAGTCGGTGGAGGGGTCCAGCAGGTCAGCGGGCTCCCCGTTCCTGCCCTTTTCCTGGTTCACAGACAGTGGCAAGGGCTCGGCGTCCTCCGGCAGCACCACCTCCCCTGCCTGCTCCCCTAAACATGAGAGCTTCAGCCCTAAGAAGTCAGCTTCTCAGGTAAGTCCATGGCCTTCTTGCCCCCATACTGGCCCTGGGGCTCAGATGACATGAGAGCATACTCCACTCTGGCTCGGGCGGGGATCAGGCATTCCTAGAGCCCATTAGTCCTCCATAAAGCCACCCGGTGGCCACTCATCCATCCATCTGTTTGTGCATTCACTTGTTCACTTATTCATATTCTGACCAGTTACTCTGGCTCGGGCGGGGATCAGGCATTCCTAGAGCCCATTAGTCCTCCATAAAGCCATCCGGTGGCCACTCATCCATCCATCTCAGTTTGTGCATTCACTTATTCATATTCTGATCAGTTGATTCATTCATTGCTTCATCAGTTCAGCACATCACTAAATACTGTGATTCCCCTAGCGTATACCCAGCCTGAGGTCTCCTCTATTCCTGCTAACTTTTCTGCCTGGCTCATTCTAGCCCAGGGGTGGGCAAACTTTTTGACTCGAGGGCCACAATGGGTTCTTAAACTGGACCGGAGGGCCGGAACAAAAGCATGGATGGAGTGTTTGTGTGAACTAATATAAATTCAAAATAAACATCATTACATAAAAGGGTACGGGTTTTTTTTTTTTTTTTTTAGTTTTATCCATTTCAAACGGGCCGTATCCAGCCCGCGGGCCGTAGTTTGCCCACGGCTGCC